CACGGTATTTAGGCTTATTATATTTGATATGTTGAAATTAATTTTTTTTAATTTATTTATTTTAATTGATATATTTTAATTGATATATTTTAATTGATATATTTTAATTGATATATTTTAATTGATATATTTTAATTGATATAATCTTTATAGTCGACCTGCCATTGGTGACTTGGGCTTATGTAGACCCGTTAAGGAAGAATTATCAAATTCACATGAGAAGCCTGTCTTCGGTGTCCTTCCTTATGTTGCCCCAGAAGTTCTCTTCGGTAATCCTTACACAAAAGCGTCTGACATTTATAGCTTCTCAATGATTATGTATGAAGTTTCTACTTTAAAAAAACCATGTATGTCATACAATCTAACCTTTTTTTTAAAAAAAGATAAAAAGTAAAACAAGTACTAATTTATATATTCCACAAAGATTATAGTTATGCTCATGATGTTTCATTGGCCTTGGATATTTCCAGGGGATTAAGACCGGAAATATTAGAAGGAACACCTAAAAAGTATGCTGAAATAATGAAACTTTGTTGGCACAAAGATCCAGAAAGACGACCGAATGCAACCGAGTTAGTTAAAAAATTAGAAATGTTAATGAATGATCAAGAGATTAATAACGGTGTTGTGCCTATTTTACATACTGATGAGACCTATCATCCTGATGCTGTGTATACAAGTAGAGTTTTGCAATTTCCAGATTTGAAGAATGCTAAATTTAATATTACTGATTCTAACTCTGAAGATATCGAAAACGATACAAATGGTAAGAATGTATTATATTATTATTATAATGTAAAAATTGCAATTTTTTTTTAACAATCTTAAAATTATCAATTTTGTAGTATATATAACCAAACAATTTGATCTGTCATTAGAAAATCTTCCACTTGATTGATTTCTTACCTTCTTAATTAAACTTTTTATATGTAAAAAAAAAAAAAAAAAAATGTATAATTTATAATATTCTGATATCAGTTTAGGGTAACGAGTGATATTACGTAATATTTTAGGTATAAGGGGATATTTTACATATATTTCAATTTGAATGGTAACATTATTTTATTTAGAATTATTTATGATTATTAAGCAATATTACATCATACATTACCCGTAGATAGTTTTGCATTTAATATTTTTATGGTTTTGACATTTTATACTGTATTATAAATACAAAGTGTTCTTAAATTATAGACATAAACATTTATTGGTTTAGTATTATTATAGTATTTATTCTTTAATTTTTTAGACAAATTTATAATTTTTTGAATTGCTTGCAGTATTGTTAACCGCAAGTTATCATCAATAAGGATATATCTATACTGTACAAGATCCAATTTTTTAAATAAATTTAAAAAATATTAAAATAGAGACCTTCCTAAATGCACCCTTCATGAACGGACCCTCTATGTAAAATATCTAAATGCATGGTATATATAGTAGGATGTTCAAAATACTAACTCTGTATTATCTATACAATTTATCCGTCTTCTATGTATATATTTAAACTAAAAGATTGATAAATAATATGCAACATAAGAATAAAAAAATGATTTATACGTATTAAAAAATTAAGAGCCTATGGAAACCTTTTTTTGTTTTTTATTTAAGAGGTTTAAATATTTAGATGAATAAATATTTCCTATAATTGCAGATTATTAAGTAAATAAAACGATTTTGAATTAAAATTATTGTAAATACAATGACCTTTATAATTAATATAATTAATCGTTGTATTACCCTAGAGTATCCAGACTTATGCGATTTGCATTGTTTAAACCATGAAAAATCCTTGAAATCACATAAGTCTGAACATTTTATTACCTCTAATAAAGTATCAAATATTGTAGTTTAAAAATACTTAATTTTAAAGTAAAATTTAAACATACCGTATTTTCGCGGAATAACGCTCATCTGCGCGTTATTTTGAGTACGCGCATGGGCGTTATTTTGCGACAAATATAAAAATTTTAAGCATTTCCTTGCATAAAAAGTAAGCAACAAAAAAATATTCCGGAGCAGCAGAGGTTTTTTTCGATTTTTAACAGCTGCCCTACCTTGTTTAGTGCGTCGAAAGTGCATCGGGGTGCGTCGAGTGTAACCTAAGGAGAGCTTCTCCCTGCGTTATGAATACAAAGTAGAATTTCCAATTATATTATATAATTGGAAATTCTACTTTGTATTCGTAACACAGGGAGAAGCTCTCCTTATGCGAACTTGGGACGACAACACCACTTCTTAGCAAAGAGACTATTCGTTTTTAGTCAAAAGCCAGCGAAGGACACAACCTAACATAGTATAATTGACGATAATGAACCCAAAGCCGCTGAAACACTTAGTAGAGCTGAATTCACCATCGAAAGGAAATCAAACAAATTCATGTCAAAAAAACCACGATGATTTTAGTAATGGATGAGTCCAGCAAACAACGAATTCAAAACAGCGAATTCAGAAACAGCGACATCAGCAAAACTCCAAACATTGATAACACAACAATATCAGCACCAACAATACGACATATTTTGCAATTAAAAAAAAGATCAGGTAGTAAAATAAAAAAAAAAACCAACACATAAACAAAACTATTATCAGCATAACTGAAATTTGTTAATCGTAGATATTTTTTTCATTAATATACTAGTTTAATAATATGATACAAGTTAATCATTGAATAGTCGTTCAATGTCCAGGCCACACCATGAGGAGGTTTGCATCTGTGACCCAAAAGGAGTTTAAATTGAAAACGTTAAAAAAAAAAAAAAAAAAATCTAAATTTACAAAAAAAGAATTAATAAATAAATGATTTAAAAATATGTATTCGATTATTTTTTCAATTCATTTATCTCAAAATGATAAAACACAATATCGATAAAGTAATTTACATTTTATGGCCTCTAATACTGAATCAATAGTAAACAGAAAAAGTTACCTTGTAAATGTTGCTACTAAGTGTGAAATGTGCTGCTATCATTTCTTAGATCGTCGGACCCGTTTAAAAACGATCCATGAGACTCGAATATATCACCAAACTTTTTATATACTACTATTATAGATGTGAAATGTGCCGTTATTATCTCTTAGATCGTTGGATTCAATAAATAAACAATTTATAAAACGTGGCTAAATTACCAACCCTTTCGTATTTTATTTATTACGATCCATTCCGTAAACATTCAGAGAACTACAATTTCTCCATAAACAAGTGATTTCATCAACTGTTACTTTCTTTCTGTGTGGAGAGCTTTCTTCTTTCGAATACAATTCTTTCGGAGCTTTAATATAACTCTACTAGTTTTCAAATGAAAACAGGCCATATAACTAAATAAAAAAAGAGAAAACTTTGCAAAATTAGCAGCTTTTCAAGAACTTATTCAAGAAATTTTATGTATGAACATAGCAGAAAGCTTAGAGCTTAGTTTAGACTACTAAGTTCAGGGGCCCTATCTATGTTAGAAGATGTACATCGCTTGACGAACCTTAGCGCAAAGTTTAAAAACAGGTAATAAAGAAAATGATCTTTAAGGGATAGTTTGTAAAGTGAAAGAGAACACTTAACAAACTAGAAGTTGGAAGTGCAATCACATAGGACAACTGATCAATAATTTATCCGGTCAGACCGGATCTAACTTCTTCAAATCTATGTGAAGATGCTGGCAAGTACGATGAATAAAAATAATAAATGAAAAAAAAAATAAAAATCAAAAAAGAAAAATTAGAGTATTGTTATGTTATCAACTAGATAAACAATGTATTCTATTGGTCGATGTATCAGGGTGCGATATGTAGATCAATTTTTTAAACAAAAAAAAAACGTGTGTTATGTTTTATATAAACAACCTATTTTTTACTTTTTTAATTTATCAATTTGCTGTAAATTGTTATCCAAAATAGAAGTCTAAACCTAACTTGGGGTCAGGGACGATGATTTTCTGTGATTCACAGAAAACAGCAGAATTTTTCTTAATCACAGCCAACCACAGAAATCACCCTTAGTCACCGCAGAATATCACAGAATTCCAAAAAATGTGCAGAATATCACAGAATTCATAATATATCGTAAGATTTGACAAGCCGGCGTTGGGAAATCTTGTAAAGGTAGACAATAAATCAACGTAAATTACGAGCTTGTCACCGGTGAATTACGGAATTATTTGGTTTGGAAAAATTTATAATCGCATTAAATCACAGAAATTATAATATAGTATATACACAGAATTGTAAAGAAATTATAAATGTTACCACAGAATTAGACAAAATTCTATCATATTAAATCACAGAATTTGTCTTAACTACATGCAGAATTTAGTCTTAACTACTGCAGAAAATCATCATCCCTGCTTGGGGTACTTGTAAAAAATGTTGAAAATGCAACTTAAACTAGTTTTAACTTTAATTTTAATAACTTTGCTTTAAATATACTTACAAAATAAGAAAATTTACAATTTGGGTTAGTAAATTGGTTATTATTTTAACCACACAATTATATATATGAAATCGGCTACTAGGGTTAGTGTAAAAGATATATAAAATAAAGAAAATATATAGTTTTTTTTTTTTGTTGAGAAAAGTTTAATCTAAATAGAGCCAAAATAATAATAATTGTTTTCTCAGAATTATTATTATTACTGTTTCTATTCTTCTTATTACATTGCATTTTATATATAATATACAGTATATAATTGCTAATCTAAATATAGATAATGCAGTAAATAATTTCTAATAACGAGAGTTTTAATGAAATCAGTACTTATTCAATCAAGTAGTTCTTGTATATTCCAGATTTCTTATATATATACAGTCAGCTCTGGATATAACGAACCTTTTTATAACGAACTCAAGATTTTTAAATTCGGTATAACAAGAACTACAGCTCTTAAGAAAACATAGTAATTTTATGTAACGAATTTTTTTTTTGGCCAGAACCTAGGGTTCGGTATAGAAAAGGTTGACTATATATACTGTATATCAGGGTTGTTAATGGAGTAGCTCACTCCGGAGCACTCCGGAGTAGAATCCAACCCAAATTGAAGTGGGTTTAAAATTATGTTTTTAAATTTGGAGCAACTTGGAGCAACCCGGAGCACTATGGAGCAACCCGGAGCAAAACATTGGAGTAAGTCTAATAACAGGAGCGACCGTCAAGGTTACACAAAATGCAGATCGCTTCCGAAATCTTCCCAACCAATCAAATTTAATGTCAC